AGCCCACAGAAGTATCTACATGTGTGCATACAAAATTCCTCCATGAATTCTACCAGAATAGTGTCAGTGGTAGAAAGAGAATCAGAGTGGCCTGTGGACCACAGGCCAGGCATTCCTATTTGGATATCAAAGAATTCAGACAAATCCAAAAGCTCCAAATTCAAGCCTGTCTTTCAGATGCTTTTGAAGGTACATCTGTCAGGATGCAATGATAGACTGTATTGCATTTAACAGTTTTTCAGCTGAATCCTGTGCAGTGGTGCATGCCTATCACCCCCAGACACTTGGGAGGCTGAGGTAGGAGGATCACAAGTTTGAGGCCAGCCTCAGCAATTTAGTGAGACCCCCAGCAATTTAGTGAGACCCTGTCTCAAAATAAAAAATAAAAATAAGAAAGGACTGGGAATGTAGCTCAGCGTTCAATCCCCAGTACTGAAAGAAAAAAAAAAAGAGAGAGAAAGAAAGTTCGAACATTTCATTTAATACACAGGCCTCTGGTAATGTGAGCCACCACTTAGTCTTGCCCTAAACCTGATAAATGTCAGGTGCAGGTCTATTCTTTGAACAGACATACACAAATAAAATAAACGTATAAAGAAATGTAAAGTAAAACTACAGTGCCTACAAGATTAAGTATACTATTTGGATCCTTCCTAAAATCCTCTTGATTCATTCCCAGGGCTCTCATTGCATGCTGGGGTCTCCAGGTTCCCCCCTTCATTCTCTTATGAAGTAGAGAATGTCATCTGAAAGCCCTTTTCCTAACCCTAAAATAACCCAACACACTGACTGAACATCCTATAGCATTCTTGCCTCCTCTGAAGGCAGAGTTCCAAGGAGGCCAGACACAGAAGAAGGAGGAAGGCAACCTAGCCCGTGAAACCCCTCCGTATTCATTCTCTGCTGTCTATTAGATCCGGATCAGGTCCCTTCCACCTGTTCCTGACTGCCATGGTGGAGAGCATCCTGGGGCCACCTCCAGGCACTTCACATCTGCCCCACCTGGGAGGTGGTTTCACCTCTTTGTGAAGTTACCCATGTGACTCTTCATCTCTTCTTGCAGCCTAATCCAATTCTTCTCATTGGGTCATCAGCAACAACACAGAAGCTCCTCTGGCTAATTAGGGGAAAGGTAGCAAATTTCCCCTTCCACCCCATCTCTCTGAATAGGCACCCCATCCACTACCCGCTTTTAAATGTGCCTCTCTTTCTTGTACTAGTATTACTGTAATTCACTTGGGCCCACCCACTGCGTGTTCTTGATCTCTGCCAGTGCCTGTGATGTCTGGATTAGACAGTGACATCCTAGAGGGCAGGGCCACATCTACTGTGTGCCTCTAGCTCCTGCTCTGCAGAGCAGCAGGCACAGGTAGGTGCTTAATAAAGACTTTGGTGTTTGAAACAGATGAGCAGCACTCTGTGTCCAAAGTATTGTAAATGGAAGAAAAAGCCATCTGTGACCATAGCCAGCCTCCTGCCAGCCAGTGAGCTGGGGCATACTTTTTCTACAAAGCAAGAAGAGCACTCTCTTGCATTTGAGATATAATAACAAAAACACTGTGACAACACTGCTCTCCTAGTACTGGATGATTTGATGCTCAGAATAATCTTATGAAGTAGAGAATGTCATTATTTTTACAAATGAGGAGTCTGAGGCACAGAGAGATGGGGCAAGTTGTTAAGCCTCTTAACTGGACCACCTGGATCTAGAGGACTCCGCATAATACCATGGTACTCTGGCCCTCGAGGTGGACAAGGGCAGTTTCAACCACAAGTAGAGGGTGAGGAGGTGCCAACTGGGCTCCTGCCTGACAGTCTAATGGGTCCTTGGTCCCTGTCATCCATGAATGAATGGCTGCTACTCAGGAACTATCCAGAGTGGAGCCAAGTAGATTTTCAAAGCATTTGTTCCCACCCCAGCCCTTTCTTTCCTTCTGTCTTCTCATCTGATTTCAAACGTGCCAAACTTTGTCCATAGCCAGGTTTCTGAGCTTGCTGTTGCCTCTACCTGAAGTGCCCTTGCCTTGTCTGTGCACGGCTGGGTCCTTTTCATCATCTAAGTGTCAGCTCAGAGGAGACAATTCTTAGGAAGGATTTTCCTGATTGCCCTATTTACTGAGGTGGCACCTCTCCCATCCCATCCCTTGCATTCATGACTAACTCACTTTCTGGTGTTAGTTTCATCTTACTTGGTCTCATCATGGCACCCTGGGCTATCTGAAATCGCCTGGTTTATCTATTTTTTAATTTATTTCTCTATTTATTTATTTCTCTATTTCTGTGTCTCCACCATAATGGAGCTTCAGGAAAGCAGAGATCTCATCTCTTTTGTTCACTCCTGAATAGTGCCTGGAACAGCATCTGGCATACTGTAGATGCCCCAGAAACATCTGTTAAATAAATGCATGCAGGCATGCATGCAGGAATGAAAATTCCTTTGTAGATATGTACAAAGGTAGAAAGAGCTGCATCTTCCTGTTGCCCTTCACCACACATATTGCAAGCCCTTTGCAGAAAGAGATCGAGTCTTTATTTGTCTTTTAGTTCATAGAGAAGAAGCAAATGAGTGAGATGGTGGATAGGAAGGGAGGTTTCCAGTTCCTTTGTTTGGGCAGGAAAAGACCAAGATATTCAGCTCCTGAGATTACAGACTGCTCTCCCTCCAGGACCATGTGTAGACTATGGCTGGACAGCTCTCTCTCTTTGAATAGAAACTGAAATACAGAAATCTCAGGCTGCCCACCTTTCTCTTTCTGCATCTTCATTTCTCTTCCTTTTTAAAAGTTTACCCTATCTGTTCTCCTTTGTCTTCCTTCCTCATTGAAACTCTGTGACCAAAAGCAAGAAGTGGGAAAGTGTGTTCTCCATATCTAATTACTCTTACTACTATAACACAACCTCACCAAAACCTCTTGATTTCTGCACAAAATAAACCCTCACAACATAATAATCACATGTAGAAAGTGCTTGATTTGATCCAGTCTTAATGTAGACATAGCCCCCTAGTCCTCCCACATAATAACAGAACCCATTGGTGCTAGCTTTTAATCTAGTGCTTTATTTATGACACATAGTACAAATAATGAACAGAAAAGCAAAGCTCCCAACCTCTGACCAAACCTGGTATGACATGAAGGCATTTCACATATTGCTAATGATCCCTTTCCTTTTCTTTTTTCAACAAAAAAGCCTTTTCAATAATTTCAATAATACAGCCTTTACAGGATCAAAATACATGCTCATTATATATGGATTTTTCCCAAGATATTTTTATACTCATTATCTTCTGGTCCCTCTTGTAAAGAAAGGGAAGGGATGGCAAACAGTGCCTTGCAGAAATTGGAAAAGAGGCACAGAGACATAAAGCTGTTTGAAGAAGTTCACACAGCAGGTGAAATATTTCCCAGGACACATTCCAAGTCCTAGCCAGAAGGCACACTCCCAGCAGCCCCTGTATCATGCACACCTGAACCAGTCCATGTGGGAGAAGAAAGAAATTGCTTAGGAAGGCAGGAAACTAAATAATTTTTTCTTTTGGAGAAGATGAAGTTCCTGATGGGGAAGATCCTGACCCAGAGCAACCCAAAGTAAAGCTCACTCTCGACACCCTGCCCCGTGGCACTGCCAGAGGCTCAGCCTTGACAGTGGAGCAAAAGGCTGGAAAAAAAGATGTGGATCAGACATCCAGGACCTTCTCACCTAACAGGAGTTTTCAACTCTGGGCAACATTTTGTTTGGTGCTTCAGGTAATCTTAGTCATAGGGAGGAGGAACACAGCCCTCAGCTTCTCAGAGACATTTATTCACACTGAGATCTAAATCACTTCCCCTTATCATTTCCAGGCTTCAGCCCCAGGCATCATGGGTCCCTGAAGTGCTTTGTCCATTCAGAGCAAAGAGAAAAAAAATGAATGAAAATGTCAGCTAAGCCTGCCTTGCACAGAGCAAGCCCTCAGCAAGAACCAGGGCTGGTCAGGAGCCCTAAGGTGGCATTCTATTTCCCTTGTTCAAGGCACACCAAGAAGTCTTCCCTACACTTCAGGAAGCCGAGGTGAGCACAAAATCCTGCTTATGTTGGAATCGAATATTCCTTTGCCTGCATCACTAATGAGATCAGATTTTTCAGGTGAGCCTTTTCTGTCTGGGATTATCTGCAAAGTATTTTCACAACTCATTACTTCTGAAGAGTGTACACATGCTATCCAGTGTTTCAGGCACTGGATTGTAAGTGGAGTAGTAAATGAGGTGTCTGCAAAAACCTGAATGGAGAGGGTGGGGAGGACCCACCGGACTTGAGAAAGGTGTCCACCATGGGATGCTTGGCATCCCCTGTCCTGGGCGGGGAAAGTTTTAAGGGAGACTCTTTGTCAGTGCACATTAGGCCTATGAAGAGGAATCGATATGACTGGATTCCCTACTTCCTTCTCCATGTCCCTTAAACTCACTCGTACCTGGACTTGCTATCAGCTTCAATATAGGAAAACTTGAGAGTGTTTGAGAAAACTGAGATAGTCTCAAAGTGAAAAATGTAGACTTACTGGATTTCACCTATAATAACAGGGAAAGAGAATAAATTCTTGGCACACTTTCAGAGAGGGAAGAAGTTTGACAGTGGGGCTGAGGATGATCTGGGGAAGATGTTACTGGCAAGAAATCAGTGAAAAGGATATCTTGGCAACAGGCCTGAACATACCACCAAGTCCCTTCATTTCTTTTGGATCTTGGATTCTGAGTGATGTTTATGGAATGTTTTGGATGGAGTTGAAGTCACTAGTACGGAGAGGAAAATGTAAAAACCAGGGTACAACTGAGCCACCAAACAGCCTCCATCAGAAACCAGACAACTATTGGGCAAACTTCACTACAAGAAACATCACTGAGAAGCTCTTAAAACTTATAGTCCTTGACACTGGTAACGGCATGATGGTTCCCCAGGGCAAGCAAGTGAGCAGCAACCTGCAGGACCTGGAGATGCCACAAGGAAGGGGGAAAGGGACTCACCTGTTCTGGCCCCTGGAAGCAGATGCGGCAGAGCGGAGTCCTCATACCACTGTCCAAGCTACTGCCCAGTGAGTAGCGATCCTCAGCCTTCTTACAGAAATCATCTGAGGAGGCACTGCTGAGCAGTGAGGCAGGTGGCTCTGCTTGGCCACCCCAGTCATCTTCCACAGAAGAAGGTGGCAAAGGTGGTGGAGGTGGCAGAGGAGGGGTCTCCCTGCCCACCACTTCTCGAGGGCCCCTCCAGCCTGCCCACCCTCCGGCGCCCAGAGCCGGAAGGGTGTTGTTGTTGGGCGCCACACCCGGGGGCTGGGGGTCGCCGTGCATGGGCAGGGGCGCTGGAGGGGGGCGCCTCAGTAGGAAAACCTTCAGGTCATTGAAGAGCATGCGGCAGCGGCACTTGAGGAGACCCTGGTGGCGCAACATCTGGGGAGCTGGGGTGCACAATCCACAGCAGTACCAGCCACAGAAGCAGTAGCAGCACCACCACCACCAGAACAGCCCACCCAGGGGCATCAGCATGTGCCCACAGAAAGCAGAGGACCAAGAGGGCAGCTGGAGTCTTTGAAGAGGTGAATAGGATGGGGCTTGGGGTCCACAGTGTTGCTGTTACTGGAGGAATCTCCTTTCTTACTGGTTCTTCTTACAACCCCTCCAAGCAGCAAATAAATTGCTCCCAGAACTGAGAACTGTGAGTCACTGATTCTGAACTCTACCTGGAAAATGCAAAACAAAAAAGTTTTTCTTGCCTTTGCAGCCCAACCCCTTCTCAGACTTTGCTCAAAGTGTCTCCTTTTCTGCCTTTGACCCCAAGACTCTGGAAGGAGCAGGGTGACGGAAGAAGTGTTGACGCTGGGCTGTTAGAACCTTAAGATCAATGTCTAATTGTTAAAAGTTCCCCAGGAAAAGATTACTGGGTTCTTGGCAGTGGTAAATCTCTTTCTTTTATATAAAAGGGTGAGGAAGGTTATAAATCAAATTTGAAGTGGACTGAGCTGGGTTTAGGGAAATCTAGCTCAATGAAGAATTGAGGACTGCATATATGAGAGAGAAAAGGTAGTTTTCCTCAGGTAGTAGGAGGGAACCGGTTGAAGGGGAAAGGTGGAGGCGGAAAGGAGGCTGGAAGAAGTTTTAATTCTCCTGGGCAGAAAACTGGGGCAATTAACCCCCGGAAGCACCAGAGTTGCTTTAAGAACAGTTGGGTGGAGGAGAGAAGGTTGCAGGCTATATTGGGCAAGGGGGTTGTGCTTTGCCTATGCAGCCAAAGGGCTACACGGAAGAAGGGAGAGCCAATGTGGTGAACAGAGGTGGGAAAACAGGGGGTCGAGGGAGAGGAAAGGAAGGCAGACAAGAAAAGATCTTTTAACCCTCGCAGAGCCACGTCCTTCCTGAGAGTGAAGATCCTGGCTAGAGGAAGGGTGTGTATGGGGGTGGGTGTAGAGGGGGGTAGAAGAGGGGCGTGTGGGAGGGGACGGAAGAAAGAAATAGTTACATTATCTCAGCCCCTAACCCACTCCTACTGCAGGCTGCAAATCCGTGGCCCCCTCCCCTTGGTTCCATCAAAGGTCCCTTCGGGCGAGGTGGGAGAAGGGCAGATCCCGGCGGGCGAGTGGCCTCGCCTTCTTCTCCTCTTCCTCCTCTGGGTCGTTGTCACCCTCCTCTGGCTCTTGGGCTGCCCGCGCCCGCCGCTGCTGCTGTGGCGGCAGAGGCGACTGCTGGTCGGCGTCCGGGTGTCTCCGGGGCGGGGGCTGCTCGGGTTCGTCCTCTGGCTGCTGCCCACCGTCCGGCGCGGTCGCGACTCCGGGCTTCATGATCCTCCTCCTCCTCCTCCTCCTTCCCGGGGGGCCGGCCCTGAGCCCCCGCGCCCGGGCAGTGCTGCCATGCAACCAGAGACGAGGCAGGCGTGGGGGTGGGGGCGGTTGGGGAGTGAGGAGGGGGGATGATACAAAAATGAAAGAATACTAATGTAATAATTCGATTCTCAGATAATCAGGAAAGAGTGCTTCTGGTGGGTGGGGGCGGAGGAGGGCGGCTGCCAGGTCTTCTCGGCAGCTCTGCCCCCGCTACCCCCACCAAGGGCGGCCTCGCCGGGCTCTGTGCCCCCACCCCCACCCCCCCCCCCCGCCCCTCCCTCCTGTCGCGGCCTCTGGCTGGCTGGGCTCGCGGTGGCTACCTCTCCTCGCAGATACAACTAGGTAAGGCTTGTCGGCGGTGCCAGCCGAAGGTGGGGAGGGGGGAGCGGAGCAACGTGGCCGAGGTGGGAGGCAGCCGGCACTTGGCTCCAGCTTGGTCCTGGAGACTCCCCCGAACCGTGTACAGAGAGATCTCGTATAAAAGCTGAAAGGAAGCAAATCAGATTCCAGGCTGCTGCCAGGTGTTGTCTTCCGCCGTTGCTCAGCACCCGCCGCCGCGACTGCTGCCCCCCTGGCTCAGTTCCCAAAGGGGTGGTGCTGGAAGGGAGGTGGCGGGGCGGTAAGCCGACGGTCCGAGGACTGGAAACGAGGTTGCCGGAGCGAGGAGGCTCCCAGCGATCTCCACCGCCGCGGCCGAGGCCGCCGCCGCTGCATTCAGCACCCGGGGCGAGTGGACAGCTCCCACCCAGACCCCGCGCGTCACGCTAGTGGGGGCCTGACGCAGACGCCACGGAGGGATGGAGGAGGGAAAGGAGACGAGAGGGAAAGAGGCTAGAGGGAGAGGGAGCAGGAGGAGGAGAAAAGAACCCTGCGAGGGAAGGGGATGGGGAGGGACCAAGGGAAAGGGAGGTAGCAAGAGAGGAGGGAGCCAAGTGAAGAGTAAAAGGTAAAGGCAGAAAGGTAACTGGAATGGAGGGGTGGGGGCGGTGTGATTCAGGTACTAACTCCCGCATTTCCACCCAGGTGGAAACTATCAGTATGGATGGTACCGTTTGTAGGATTTCTGCCCATTTATTGTCACCGCTGCCTTCAGTGCACGTATATAGAGACAGATACCTCTCAATCAGTGTCCATGTCGCTATTTATATAAACACGTAAAGTAGTTGTCGGTCTGCAAGCTTTGGAAGAGACAAAGTTTTGTGACTTTGATATTGGAGTTTGGACTTGACATAGACTAAAGTCCCTCATGACTAAGACCTCATGAGAAAGAAACTCTTGAAACCTACAAGCAGAAAGGACAATGCTAGCACCACATTTGACCGTTTCTCCCTATAGAATTTAAGCTCCAATGGGCCGGCTATTTATTTTGTTGGTTTGTTTGTTTTGGCCCATTTTGATTCCATGTGCCCAAGTCAGTGGCATATAGTAAGGTAAATATTTGTTAAATAACTTGTGATCACCATGGCCACAATCATCATTACTCCAAATCTAGTCCTTTTTTAGTGTGAATCATAAGAATCCAGAGCAATATTATAGCCTCATCTTAACCAATATCCCCAACTGCCTCCATATCCAAGCTTTTTACTGAGCCACCTGCAAGGAGTAATTTGAAATGGATTTTAATTTCCTCTCATTTTTCTGCTCCTGACTCATGTCACCCTACCCCATCTCTCTCAAGGAGTTTATAGTGAGCAGGAAAGTATCCCAGCAGAGTTAGAGGAAGAAGGATATTTGAAAGAGTTTGTGTAAATAACCAGTAATTGCAGCTGTAGACTTTGGTCATTTAAAACTTAAAAAAATACTTCTTGACTTTTCTCTTAAATTAATCACTCTCTCTCTCTCTCTCTCTCTCTCTCTCT